AAAAAAAAAAAGATAATGTCTGTCTAGCCTATAGTAAAGGCTCAATAAATGTTATCTAGTGCTGTTTTTTATTTTTATCCCAAAAGCTAGGGCAAATACTAAACATTTTGATATAGGTTCAAACTCTTTCCTCTGTAAGTATATATGTGTGCATCTTAAATTGTAGTTTCCATATCCCCAACTACCCGCCGCCCAATGTATTATACCCTGAAGAACATACTTTCTAGCTAGAGACTATTCCCAGAGTTTCTCTTTGATCCTGTAGGAGAAATTCTACGGGTTTTGGTACATAATAAAGAATGTTAGGGTTTGATTGATGGTGACTCTGTATTTACCTTTCAGGAAGCCAAGCATGGGGCGGACAGCCAGTGTATCCCCAAGAACCTGATGATACCTGCATTTTCCCTGATGGTGGGCCCTGTCCATCTGGCTCTTGGTCTCAGAGGAGAAGTTTTATTTATGTCTGGAAGACCTGGGGTGAGGGACTCCCTTCTCTGGCCTGTCATCCACACTTGTATTTACCTCTTCATACCTCATCACCTTTCTTTTTGCCACCCTTAACTTCTTTGATTTTCTTCCGTCTTCATTTTCCCCAGGTTTCTTCCTCTTCTATAGCACCTAGCCTCCTTCAATTCTATTGTAATTCTTTCCAGCAGCCCTTCTCCAATTGTAGTCCTATCCCACAGAACCCCCCATTAAGACCCCTTCCCTGCACACACACCCCCATGTCATATCCAAACACCTTCAGAAGTAATCACCCTCAATAGACCTCCTGACCTCTTCTCTGGTACCCCTCAGTTCCCTTTGACTAGTAACTTCCTCCTCCCTGCTTTTCCTTCCAAAAACCTCAGGCCAATACTGGCAAGTTCTAGGGGGCCCAGCATCCGGGCTGAGCATTGGAACAGGCAGGGCAATGCTGGGCACACATACCATGGAAGTGACTGTCTACCACCACCGGGGATCCCGGAGCTACATACCCCTTGCTCACTCCAGCTCAGCCTTCACCATTACTGGTAAGGGTTTAGAAAGGGGCATGGCTAGTTATGGTGGGGAACTTGGCTGGACTGAAAGGGGACGTGTGTGCAACCTTAAAGGGGCTGGCTGAGGAAGACCTGGGCAGAGAAATGTGGGGCTTATAGCCAGTGAAGGGCTGTTTCGTCAGCTTGGGGTTAGAGATTGTGTCTGTGAAAAGAGAAACTATGGCTCAGGCCTGGTTCTCATCTTTTTTGTCTCCAATCCTAGACCAGGTGCCTTTCTCCGTGAGTGTGTCCCAGCTACAGGCCCTGGATGGAGGGAACAAGCACTTCCTGAAAAATCAACCTCTGACTTTTGCCCTTACGCTCCATGACCCCAGTGGCTATTTGGCTGGGGCTGACCTCTCCTATACCTGGGACTTTGGAGACAGTACTGGGACCCTGATCTCTCGGGCACTTGTGGTCACTCACACTTACCTGAAGTCTGGTCTAGTTACTGCCCAGGTGGTCTTGCAGGCTGCCATTCCACTCACCTCCTGCAGCTCCTCACCAGTTCCAAGCACTACCAATGGGCACATGCCAACAGCAGAGGCCCTGGGCACCACAGCTAGTCAAATGCCTACTGCAGAAGTTGTAGATACTACACCTGGCCAGGTGGCAACTACAGAGCCTCTTGGAACCACAGCTGTGCAGATGCTAAGCACAGAAGTCATAGGGACTACCCCTATGCAGGTGCCAACTGCTGAGGGCACAGGTACAACACTTGAGCAGGTACCAACCTCAAAGGTCGGAGGTACCACATTTGCAGAGATGTCAACTACAGAACCTATAGGCACAGCACCTGCAGAGATATCTACTGCAGAGCCCTCTGGAACCACAGACGCACAGGTAACAACTACAGAGTTGGTAGAGACTGCAGCTGGAGAGTTACCCACCCCTGACCTTGAGGATCCAGGTGCCAACTCAATCATGCCTACAGAACGTATTACAGGTAAGAAAACTAGTGTGAACGAGGCTCACCGAGGCTTGTTTTTTGTTTTTTTTTTTTTGAGACAGAGTCTCACTATGTTGCCCTTGGTAGAGTGCCGTGGCATCACAGCTCATAGCAACCTAAAACTCTTGGGCATGAGCAATCCTCTTGCCTCAGACTCCCAAGCAGCTGGGACTACAGGTGCCTGCCACCATGTCCAGCTAGTTTTTCTATTTTTATTTTTATTTTGAGACAGAGACTCACTTTGTCACCCTTGGTAGAATGCCATGGCATCGCAGCTCACAGCATCCTCAAACTCTTGGACACAAGCTATTTTCTTGCTTTAGCCTCCCAAGTAGCTGGGACTATAGGTGCCTGCCACACACCCAATTATTTTTAGAGAAGGGGGTCTCACTCTTGCTCAGGCTGGTCTCGAACCAGTGAGCTTAGGGCAATCCACCCGTCTCAGTCTCCCAGAGTGCTAGGATTATAAGCATGAGCCATGGTGCCCAGCCAGTTTTTCTATTTTTAGTAGAGATGAGGTCTCTCTCTTGCTCAAGCTGGTCTAGAACTCCTGAGTTCTAGCAATCCACCTGCCTTGGCCTCCCACAGTGCTGAGATTACTGGCTGAACCACCTTACCTGGGCAGATTTCTACCACTGAGAACTATTGGGAAGGCGAGGAAACAGACTGTGATTATTTACACAATGAAATGATATATGATATGTAAATATCATTGTCTACTCAAGTATAAATGTATAGAATTTTTTCTAGATTTTGAGACCTTTATCCTCCCATTTTTCCACCCGTAGATTCCCGTATTCCATAGCAAAAGGGAGGAATGAGATGATGACATATAAATGAGTTAAAGTGTTGGATGTCTGGCCCAGGGACCTGCAGTGTATGGAGCACAATAAAATTTGAGGATTTTTTAAATTTTTGTTTTTGCAGTTTTTGACCGGGACTGGGTTTGAACTCACCACCTCTGGCATATGGGGCTGGGACCCTACTCTTTTGAGCCACAGGCACCGCCCTTTGTTTTTATTTTTGAGACACAGTCTCACTCTGTTGCCCTGGGTAGAGTCCTGTAGTGTCATAGCTCATAGCATATTTGAGGGTTTTTAAAAACTCCAACTCTATTCCTATCCATGTGACTCTGCAACTGTCATTTTCTTCTTCTGGGCCTGTTTCCTTATCTATAAAATGAGATTTCCCACATCTTATCTGATTCCAAGTCTGTGTCTCTAGGATCCAGTAGGTCTGGCTTAACCTGGAGAAATGCCTGCTTGGCCTGTGCTTCTGGATGACTCATCTGTCTCTTGATCTTGTCTTCTCAATCCTCTCCTTCCAGGTTCCCTGAGCCCCCTGCTGGATGGTACAGTCACCTTAAGGCTGGTGAAGAGACAAGTCCCACTGGATTGTGTTCTGTATCGATATGGTTCCTTTTCCCTCACTCTGGACATTGTCCGTGAGTCTTGCTTAATTTGGAGGCTGATGAAGGGAGGTATATGTTGCCTAGGGCAAAGTGTTGGAGACATACCTTGGGAGAAATTACCCACCTAGACAGGAAAAATATTCAACTGCTAGTGTCCTCTTTTGAAGACACAGAGATGGGATTGGTGGAGCAGTCCTAGAGCTTTTCTTTGTCTGTGGGCTTGGGAATGCCTGGTATAGGAATTCCCACTTATAATCATGCAACTCTGCAGAGGGTATTGAAAATGCCGAGATCCTGCAGGCTGTGCCCTCCAGTGAAGGGGATGCATTTGACCTTACTGTGTCCTGCCAAGGCGGGTAAGTGTTCCACTGGTTGCCCTGATAACTCTTGGATTGACTGTTGACTGGCTCTCTGGTCTTCGGTGTACCTTCCCAGATCCCCTGATGTAAGGTGATACCATTTTCAGGCTGCCCAAGGAAGCCTGTATGGACATCTCATCACCAGGGTGCCAGCCTCCTGCCCAGCGGCTGTGCCAGCCTGTACCACCCAGCCCAGCCTGCCAACTGGTTCTGCACCAAGTACTAAAGGGTGGTTCGGGGACCTACTGCCTCAATGTGTCTTTGGCTGATGCCAATAGCTTGGCAATGGTCAGCACCCAGCTTGTCATGCCAGGTAGGTGCTTGGACAAGAGCTAGGATGAAGGGGAGTGGGCAGAAGACAGCTGGAAGAAAGCAGACACTGATTGACACTGTCTGGGATTCTGCTTGCAGAGCAAGAAGCAAGCCTTGGGCAGGCTCCCCTGTTTGTGGGCATCTTGCTGGCGTTGATGGCTGTGGTGCTTGCATCTCTATTATATAGGTAAGGGCCCGTCCAGTTCAGGCACCCTTGTAACTATGCACTCTTCCTCAAGGGGAGGAGGAACCACCACTCCTTTTGAGGAGGCATGGTGTCCAGGAAAGAGCTGGGGTTTGGAAGTTGGACAGGCCAGGGCTGCAGTCTTCCTGTGGGATGTTGGGGAATCTTCCTGAGACTCTGAAAAGTAGAAAAACTAATACCTTCCCTGTGGGGCTGTTGTAAAGATTAAAAGCAACGGGAGTAAAGCACCAGCTCTGAAGCAAAAGTTTAACAACTAATGATTTTAATGACTATTGTTAGTAAGAGTGGGGCAGTTTGGGTGAACTGAGTTCTCCACCTGCAAGAAGGGCAGATCCTAGGGTAGTGCCTGTGGCTCAAAGTAGGGTGCCAGTCCCATATACTGGGGGTGGCGGGTTCAAACCCAGCCCCAGACAAAAACTGCAAAAAAAAAAAAAAAAAGAAGGGCAGATCCTCAGGTCTGGGGTCGCATTATGCTCAAAGCAGGGGAACTCCTAGGGTGAGAGGGAGAGAGATGGACAGAAGTTACCACAGAAAAAAGAAGATAGTAAGAAGGGGAGGGAGCTACGGTCAATGCCAGGCAGACATGGAAAGAGTTATGTCCACTTCTTAGGAGAAGTATAGACAAGCTACCTTTGTCCATTGCTAACCAGTTTCCCTCTTCTCCCAATATCAGGCGCAGACTTATAAACCAGGGCTCAGCTTTCCCCATTCCCCAGCTGCCTCGCAGTAGCACCCACTGGCTGCGTCTGCCCAGGGTCTTTCGCACTTGCCCCATTGGTGAGAATAGCCCACTCCTCAGTGGGCAGCAGGTCTGATTACTCTCAGATGATGCCATGATTTTCCTGGAGTTCACAGCAACATCTTTTATTTTCTCCAGTCATGTCTTGGAGACTATTGTAACCTGAAATAAACACTCAGAACCTGGTCCTGGTTTTTTTTTTTTTTTTTTTTGCTTTCTTCTTGGGAGAATCTGTCATTTAAGAAGTGAAAGTGTAAAGGAAGGAAGTGTACCACTTAATTACTAGACATCCCAATGGAAAACAAAGTTATTTTATTCAGATGAGGCACTTTTAATCTATGGATCTGTGGGGTGTGTGTAGGTGTGTGTTGCATGTGTGCACGGGGACTGGTGAGGTGGTGCAGGATAATAAATACTGGGAGGGTGAAGGAGCACTCCCCTGAGCTGGCAGCAATGTACAGAGCCTAGGGAGTAGACTCCAGGGACAGGGAGGTGGGTTCAAGGCTGACTTGGAGGCTGAGGGTGTCTCCTTCAGCCCAAGAAGCCAAAGAAATTGGAGGCACGTGGGGGTGGACCCATGAGCATGGGCATCTGGTTCTTGTGGGTGATCTTGATCTGGAAGGGAAGGGAGCACATTCAGAGGCAAGACCTGTTGCGTTGAGGCTGGAGCACCAGAGATTTGGGGGGAAATTTGTGGGATTTGGGTTAGGTCACTGGGTCCTAGAGAGACCATGGTGGGGGAGCCAGGAGGTAGAGAATCAGGGTTGGGGAAAAATGGAATGGTGTACAGGGGGGAACTTTAGGCATCAGGAGCAAGTAAAGAAGCTCTACAGTGGAAATTAAGGATTCATGGGGCCTGAGGGTTCAGTTATTGGCAAACAACCACAATACTCACTGTACAGGGTGTTTGCATCCAGGGTTCTCCATCAATTTGCATGGGGAGGGTTTTTGTGGTGCTATGGAAGGCCAAGGAAGATTAATAGAATTTTTGTTACCAGCTGAATACTAAAACACTGCTTCTCAGGCTGCCTTTGAGACCCTTTTCACTGAGGAAGATGTCCTAGTAAAGCTCCTCCCCACCATTCCCATGACACTTCTGCTGTGCTGTCCCACTCCCTCCCTCCCTGGCTCTTCCTTACTGGAAGGTGATCTCAGAGCACTTGGCCAGCCGATGTCCAGCACTCTTGAGCTTGGTATAGATCTGACCCATCTCAATTGCACCCTCCAGCCCTACTACTTCCAGTCGCTTGTCACTTAGGTCTGGGGGTGAGAAATAGAGAGATAGGTTTTACATAAGCAGAGTGTTACCAAAGAGAGACATACCTTTCCTTGATCCCCCCGTCCCAGCTTCCAAGGCAGCTCCTCTCACCTGGTACACAGGTTTTCAGTATATCAGGGTCAGTGATGACTTTAGCTGCGGCACCTAAGGCCTGGTTGATCCCAGAGAGGTCCCCATGAAGTTTCTTGGTATCACCCCAGAGGTTGGAGCCACCGTGCATGCTAGGGATGTTCAGCACTGCAATGCCTTCTAAGGACAGGTTGCTTAGATCCAGCGGTTTCCCACAGATCTAAGGGGAGGGGGACACAGCCCCAGTTGGGGAGAGCACAATTCCTCACCTCATAGCATAATCACAGATGTGACCACTCCATTTAGGAGATGACAAAGGAGGGCAGGGTTTAGAGGTGGGCAATAGATGAAGGGAAATAGGGATTAGTGTATCTTGAGGACTTGGAAAATCAGGGTTGGAGAGCTCAGTGGTCAAAGAAATATAGGTTCATGAACACGGGAAGTTCCTAAGGGTGTCTATGGAGGGAGAAACTTGGATATTAGAAACAAAATGACATAGGTTTGGGTCTTATCACACGCACCTCAACTGTCAAAGACTCTTCCAGCTTTTTGCATGTGGAGAAGATGGATTCTGATGTGGCAAATTCAAAATACCATAGCTTGTTCTTCATTCTGTGTCAGCCCCAGCACAAGGCCCAGTGGAGAGGGGACAGGTTACATAGGGCTTGCAGGGATAATAAGTGACAGGGAAGGGCATTGTCCTTCCAACTCCAGTCCCATGGGAATAAGGGTAGCTTTGGCTGGGGGCTTTCCTAGAGGTGCCACTGCCCAGCTAAGCATTCTGAATCAAATTTGGTCAGAACCTGGTCCCTAACACTGTGTATGCCCACACCCCCCTCTCCTTTCCCTGACCTGCTGTTGAACCTCTCGGGATATTTCTCTCGCATGATGTGGAATCGGTGAGCAATAGAGGCATCCTGGAGAGTTCAAGGTTTGTAAGATCAGAGGCCTGCCTTTCCTCTCTCTCCCTTTCTCCCCCACCCCAAGTCAAGGAGCAGCATATTCCAAGTTCTTTTCTTGTGACTCACGCCACTGTGCCACTCTCCTGATTTTCTCTTAACCTTCACCCTCCCTTTCTGCACTCCATCACCTCTGCCTGCTTAGCTCCCACTTCCTCCTTTCCCCCACAAGCCCCACACCACTGACCACACCAATGGAGAAGTAGTTATTGATGATGTGAAAGGGGACTGGGTCACTTTTTTCTTCAGTTTGTTGTGGTATCACCTCTACAGACCATCGATCCATATATACCACTTTGCTTGCTTCCAAATCCTTGAGGATCTTTGCCAAATTCTGTCCATCATACCCTAGGAATGGAGAAGACAGTTGAGCACTGTTTCCCAGAAAGACCTCTTCTCTGCTCTTAGCTCCACAGATTCCCAGGGTTTCTCTGGTTTGGTTCTGCCAGTGAAAAGGTGGGGTGGCTCAGTGCCTGTGGCTCAAGTGGCTAAGGCATCAGCCACATACACCTAAGGTGGTGGGTTCGAATTCAGCCCAGACCCGCCAAAACAACAATGATGGCTGCAACCAAAAAATAGCCTGGTGCTGTGGCAGGCGCCTGTGGTCCCAGCTACTTGGGAGGTGGAGGCAGGAGACTCGCTTGAGCCCAGGAGTTGGAGGTTGCTGTGAGCTGTGATGCCATAGCATTCTACCCAGGCGGACAGCTTGAGACTCTGTCTCAAAAAAAAAAAAAGAAAAGAAAAGGTGGGATACTCAGTCACAGGTCCTATGAACCAATCTCAGGTCAGCCTCTTGCTGACCCTTTTCTCCACATTGTGTACAGGGTGAATGTTTTCAATGTGTGTGCACATCTAAAATTGATCCCAGCTAGGCACAGTGGCTCATGCTTGTAATCTTAGCACTTTGGGAGGCAAAGAAGCAAGGATCACTTGAGCTCAGGAGTTCAACACCAGCCTGAGCAAGACAGTGAGCCCATCTCTACAAAAAATTAGAATGGTGGTGCACACCTGTAGTCCCAGCTACTCAGGAGGCTAATGCAGGAGGATCACTTGATCCCAATAGTTTCAGGCTGCAGTGAGCTATGCAGCTGATGCCACTGCATTTTAGCCTGGGTAACAGTATGAGACTCTATCTCAAAAAATAAAGAAAGAGGGCAGAGCCCATAGCTCAATGGGTAGGGCGCCAGCCACATACACACAGGCTGGCAAGTTTGAACACAGCCGGGGCCAGCTAAACAACAATGACAACTGCAACAAAAAATTAGCTGGGCATTGTGGCAGGTGCCTGTAGTCCCAGCTACTTGGGAGGTTGAGGCAAGAGAATTGCTTAGTTTGAGGTTGCTGTGATCTGTGCCACGGCACTCTACCAAGGGCTACATAGTGAGACTCTGTCTCAAAAACACACACACAAAAGAAAATAAATAAAAATAAAAATGACTTGAAAGTTCATCTGGAAGACTGGAGAGAATATCCAGGAAAATGCTGAAAAAGTGAGTGACAAATGGGGATAATCCCTCTATCTCATCTCCACTCTCATCATGCTTTCTTTCCCCATTTGACAAGACAGAACACAGTATTTTTTTGGGGGGGGACAGAGTCTCATTTTGTTGTCCTCAGTAGAGTGCTGTGGCATCACAGCTCACAGCAACCCCAAACTCTTGGGCCTAATCTTAATGCATGAACCATTAAATAAAAAACAAAAAAAAACTTTTGGGCTTAAGTGATCCTCTCGCATCAGCTTCCCAAGTGGCAAGGACTACAGATGCCTGCTACAACGCCCAGCTATTTTTTTTAGACATGGAGTCTGGAACTCCTGAGCTAAAGCAATCCACCCACGTGGGCTTCCCTGAGTGCAAGGATTACAGGTGTGAGCCACTGTGCTGGCCTAAGCACACAGTATGAAGTAACAGTGTCTAAACAGTGGTATATTCGGTGGCGGCACCTATGGCTCAAAGGAGCATGGTGCCAGCCCCATATGCCAGAGGTGGCAGGTTCAAACTCAGCTCCGGCCAAAAACTGCTTAAAAAAAAAATAGTGGTATACTGGCACAGTGAATAGACTAAAAGTTCAATATTAAAGAATAGAATGCTCCAAATAGATTCAAGTATATGTGGAAATTTAGTATATGTGATGACATGTCAAGTAAACGGTGAAGAGATTTTTTTCAATAAATAGTGCTAGATGTAGAAGTCATGCCTTATATATATGAAAATGACTTCAAGAATTTGTACTACAGGCTAGGCGTAGTGGCTCACTCCTGTAATCCTAGCACTCTGGGAGGCTGAGGCGGGAGGATTGCCTGAGCTCAGGAGTTTGAGACCAGCCTGAGTGAGACTGCTATGTTCACTAAAAATGAAAAACTGAGTCAAGAGGATCATTCAAGGCCAAGAGTTTGAGATTGTGAGCTATGATGCTATGGCACTCTACTGGGGGTGAAAAAGTGAGACTCTGTCCCCAAAAAAAGGGAAACAATCAAAATGTCTGTCATTAGGGGAAGGTTATGTAAATTATGGCAAATCCATGTCAAGAGATACTGTGCAGCTATTGGATAAAAGGTGAAATCTATCTATATGTACTAACATGGAAAGATCTCTAAAACATAGTCAATGAAAAAAGAGATCCCAAAACCATGTGTAGCATGAGTCCATTTATGTTTGTTAAAATGTGTTTACGTGGGCAGCGCCTGTGGCTCAGTGAGTAGGACACTGGCCCCATATACC